GCACGACATCACTGCAGAGAACGCCAAGGCCATCGGGATGGTGTCCAATGCCGCGGATTCTTCACCTGAGCACACTGTGAGTGGAAGAAGGTCGCTGACATACGAGCTTGCGATAAAGGCCAGCGCACCATCTGAGGCAGACGCAGACAAGCTAGCATCAAAGAGTATGTCGCTGACCGACGTCCTCACAACCGATGTCGGTGCACCTCAGGGACGCGTTGGAAAGCTGGTCAGCTCTTGGCAGTTCGAAGCGTTTTTTGCCGCCGTGATCCTCACAAACTCAATTTTCATCGGAGTTGTGATTCAATGGGAGTCTGAGAACAGTTTCGCAGGCACACCCGATTCTATCTATGCAATCAGCATCGGCTATGGTATTTTGTTCACGGTGGAGCTCCTATTCAGACTGATCGCTGCAGGTCCTTGGAGCTTTTACTGCAAAGCAAACTGGGCATGGAACGTGTTTGACACGCTGATTGTTGCCAGTGTTGTATACGAGTTCCTGGTGGACACAAGGGGCCAGTCTACAAGCATGAGTAGCAACTTACGAATCTTGAGGGTTGTGCGGCTCACACGGCTCACGCGCATCGTCCGGGTGTTCCGAGTGGCGCGATTCTTGAGACCTCTTCGCACTCTTGTGCAGTCTATTCTCGGTACCCTGAGAGCCTTAATTTGGGCGATGCTGCTTATGACACTAATCAACTATGTTTTTGCGGCTATTTTCACGGACGTGGTGGGCAATTACATGTCCGACACGTCCCAGCTGGAAAGCAGAGACGCTTTGGTGCCACTGTTTGGAACCCTGCAATCTTCCTCGCTGACCCTTTTCATGTCCATTTCTGGTGGACTGTCCTGGTTTGATGCCGTCCATCCTCTGAAAGGAATAGGATGGCTTTGGGTCTACGTTTATTGCATCTACATTGCGTTCTGCCTCTTTGCTTTACTCAATGCAGGGGCCTAAGTTCACGTTCCGCTTGGGCTCGGCAGCTAGGCAAGCCAGAGGTGACCGATGTGACAGCATGTGCTGTAGGACATGGCATTTCAGGTAGAGGAGCTATGAACTGACAGGAGGTGCTGTGGCGATGTTGCCGCATCCAGGCAAATGCGCAAACTCGGCTTTCACGCCTTTCCGAAACGACTAGGGATGCTAACACTGCTGATGTAGGTCGAATCAAAAAACTTTCGACAGGAACCATGTGCCTGTTCAGCTCGCCGTAGATGCCCCTTTGCTTCAGGCTAGGTTGGCTAGGTGGAACAAAGCCATCGATCGCACGGCTTGTAGTGACATCCTTGCAGGTCTTCATTTGCAACTTCTCAGTGACTGGTAGATTGCGGGATGCTTGAGGAAGGTAGAAGTTGGATTGGCTGTTTTGTCGAGGGTCCTTCTCTGGATCAGGAGTACTGTCGCAGCCGTTTCGGATCAATTTTCCGGTTCATCTTGGAGCATCTCGGAAGAGTGGCGTTGGTACAGAGACGAAACCTCGCAGTGGGGAGTGAGGCACTGGCTCACAGAGTCCAAAATGGACGGTTCGGCTCCTCCGTCTTGAGAAAGGTGAGAAACGAAGCGAGCAGCACTTCAAAATGTTTGAGCAGAAGCTCGCGGATCTCAAGGCAATATCATGCAAGAAGTTGTTGAATTCCGAACCGCCTTTAATCTTCCTAGGCCGCAGGCTGCCTGTCGGGACCACTCCACGAGAAAACTGCCTTTGTTCAAAGCATTTAGAGGTTGGTCTCACGCAGCAGACGCGTAAGTTGCACTGAGGCTCGAGCCTCGCATTGACACATGTCCTACATTTCCTCAGTGCGGATCCTGCCAAAAATCCCATCTGTTTGCTTGCACGGTGCTCTGGGACTGGGTGAGTGGTCGAGAGATCGCCACGTTTTATCAGGTTAGTCCACAAACACTGAACAAGGACATCACCTCTGGAATGCCCATGTAGACGAGATGATGAGTTTCGCATGCAGCCCTGGCCAGCGACGTACTGAGGTCGCGTAGCAGGTAGCCTTCGGACACAAAAACAGATCGATCGGCCGTGCCGTTGTCCCTTGGCAATTCAGTATATTCAGTAGGTGAGTGGAAGGAATGCAAGCAGAAACGTACGAACCATACAGCAGCTTCCGCGCAGGCTCTTTGCAGCAAGGGTGTTATAAGCCAACTTGACTGCACTCGCTGCAGCTTGGCATTGGCGTTTACCTTTTGAAGTTGAGCTAGGTGCTGCTCCGGCACGATGTGCTTGTCGAGATGTTGCAAAAACACGGCTAGCATCACAGAATTTCACGGACCTGGGATGACAAAAGTCCGAACCTGCTGCTTGACTTAGTGTTCTTGCGCGTGAACGGAATCCCAGGGGCTCCAAGATCCTTTTGATCTTTGAAGTTTCTGGTTCGGCTGTTGAACCAGAGCCTGACACGTTTTGGGACATGTCTCGACGCGTGCAGCAGCGTAATTTCCTACGGTCCTACTGTTGGCTTGCACAATTGCCCAGTTGCAGAAACGACATGTCTTGATGGAAATTGTCTGTCGGCCCAAGCTGCACACCGTGTGTCACCGTCCGTTTCTGCACTTCGCTTGTGTGGCAGGTTGCCTTTTCTGGAGTTTTTCGGCGAAGAGAGACGCGTTCCAAGTTTCTGGTCGCAGATGTTGACTCGGAGGTTGCCCATGCAAAAACAGCAAGAGGCCGGCACACGCTGTTGGAATGTGTTGGAATGACGAGGCGGAAAGTCATGCTGGTCTTGTGTGTCGTGGACTCTTGCTTGAGCAGTTCATGGCCTCAACAGTTGAGCTTACGGGTTCGAGTAGTTGCAAGGTCTCGAGCAGCTGACATGCATGGCACATTAGGTCTACTTTCGCGGTTCGTTGGGTTGACAAAAACCATTCCCTGGTTACTGGGTTGATTATGGTCGTTTTATGCTTGGGATCTCCGAAAAGAGATGTCAGTGAATCATTCGTGGCATCGAAACCATGGAAGGGAATGGATGGCTGGTAGACCTGACGCGCTTGCACGAGCTTCACGGGAGACTCCGTTTCATGTCCCAGGTCCTTGTTTGGATGCGGCCTTTTCCTGCACCGGTATACGCCTGGCTGGCTGCTGCGCGGAAGGGGACAGTGCTTTCTTTGCGGAACCTTGTCAGGCACGTGCTCAGATTCATTGCGGATCGCCTCATCACGACTTGGGGCGAGAACATATGTCTCAGGTCGCGCAGAGAAGGACTGTGGCGAGCTTTTCCGCATCAGGCATTTCCAAAGCAGCCACCAGGAGCTTGAATTTGTTTCCCCGCCATGATCCTTAGTTTCATGGATCCCTATGAATGTTTTTGCGCTCCGCTCCGGAACCCGATCCGCAGCCCTCTCACAACCCAAGCGGTCTAGACCGCACTGCGTCGCTGTTACAGAACAAAGAGAACAGGACAAGAGGTCATGATGTAAGTTTTGTGTTGAGGCGCGTTTCTGTCATTTTTCTGTGCTGTTGCTCTGATGCCCCTTTTTCCAAAGATGGTAAGCCTAAGAAAGATTGGGGCCCGCACACAAGTGTGCATGCGTCCTGAATGCTTCAAAACACCAGAGTCCATACAAAGGGCGATTTTATGGATGATGATGATGATGATGATGAGCACAGAGTATGCGTCCGGCGATTTCGGGAGATGATGCACAAAGGTCATTGTAGGCTCCGCTTTCGCACTCACGTCAGATGGTTGCCCTCCTTTTGAAATGAGGGGGTTCGCGTGGTGTCCTGTCCATTTGGGGGCTGCCGGCACCAGAACAAAGTTAGTTAGTTAGCGCAAAGGTCATGACTGGCGTTTTCTGTAATGCTGCAATACGTGGCGCAGAGCGAGATGCAGAAATGGCAGTGCAGACATTGATGATGGACAAACAACGCCTGGATTGCTTGCTTGGGAAGTTGTTCCAGAAGATGGACAGCGACGGTACCGGAAAGCTTGACATCACAAAGTTCGAAGCGTATTACCGGGACGACGAAGTTCGGGCGGTTTTTGAGGCCCTTGATCTCGGTGCACATGATGCTTGGACGCTTTCCGGCCGCTTTTTAACATAATATTTCGTATCTTAATTGCAGTCTGAATAAGGAACAAACATTGTTTTTTTAACGGCTTGTAGAAACAACATTCAGGTTTTTTCAAAGTCTTGATAACAATGAAGACCACCAGATCGAAGCGGGTGAATTCTTGGACGGTTGTGCCAGAATGCGGGGGCCGGCAAAAGCTGTGGATTTGTTCGCATTGCGGACGCAGACCGCAAAAATCCGAAAAGAGCTTGAAGTGGTCGTTACCAATCAGCAGAAGTTGGTTGAGCTCATCGCACAAGAGAGATTGCATCCGCGAAGCGGAAGCAGTCCCAACAGCTTCACCACCAAACTGCGATTGTGAAGACCTGCATCAGGCATCAGGTTTGTAGCAGCTGTGGGCTGCGAGGGTTTCATGCGAAGTGCTTCCTGACGGCGGGTCTTTCCACAGTGCATCAATCGGTGAAGCATCTTCAGGTCAAGACAAGCAGTTGTTTGTAGCAATGAGCCGTCATTGCACTTTCCGATCAGTTGCAGCCGGCTCTAGGTCTGACATTTGGGCTGCAGCATTGACCAGTAGATATCAGATATCAGAAACCATGAAGTTTTCGATGTGGCAAAAAGACGGATTGTTGTATATATTGCAACAGCGCGTCCTGGCCCCTTTGTGCCGCCGCGACCACACGCAGCGAGCGGTGCGAAGCGCGTTTGGTCTTGTCGGTTTACATCGGCGTTTGTCAAGCAAAGTCACCTCAGGTTGCAGACTCAGCCTGCCAACAAAACTGGTAAATCCCCGTAAGTCTCATGTAGAGACCTTGAACGTTTGGATTCCACAGTACTGGTACAGTTCATAGAAACCTCCTGCATCTTGGGGGCTCCAGCCCCACCAAGACACACGCACACACACACACACAAAACTTCTTCGCACCAGCGCAGAACGGTCCTTAAGACCGAGATCAAGGATGTAGATGTCCAGTACTGGCCATGGCACACCATCTTTTGGACTCCGTGCCGAAGCATCTCCGCTTCACCCCTGGCGGTGGCAGCACGAGAAACTTGCTGCTTCGAAACATATCAGCAGGACAAGCTGAATAGCTTGAATATTGAGTTTGCTGGTGGGTTTCTTCCCGCAGTGCTGATTCTAGACCATCGCAGGCAGGTGGCGACGGATTGTAAACGCGTCCACTACGTCACTCTCCGTGTTTCCCTTCACGTACCTGCCAAGCATGATGTTTAGCGGCCTGGTGCTTATCTTCCATGTTGCTTTCGGGCTGTTGCCATCGGCTCTTTGAGGAGAACTGCCGCTGCGGATAGAGCCGCCGGGGCCACCATTCCTGTTGTCTGTGGGCTCTGAGCACGTGGACAAGAACTTCGTGCTGGAAGCTGGAGCGCAACAAACTCAGCTTCGTGTCGCAGGCATCTCGTGCGATGGGGGGCTTGAAACCTGACTCATTGGAGCCCCGTGGCTGAGGACCTTGGCATTCAGAATCGCCATGAGCTCTGCTCCCCAGCAAGACGATGTGGTGTGTGATTTCTTGACGGTTCACATAGAATGTTCTCCGCCCTTGCTAATTGACATCGCTGCGGCTTCCGATGCTACACCCAGCGACGAGATCACAAGCCTAATTAGGCCGGAAGTCCGTCTGTGGTCTTGAGCGGTGACATTCGAAGCTTTGTTTGCAACGCCAGCCTCTTCAGTGTTTGTTTCACCCGGCCGTGTGCAGGGACTTGGTGCAGAAACGAAGCTTGCATCAGAGCAGCGCTGGTAACACGCATCTTTGGCAGAATTTCCACCCCAGACACCACCTGCAAGCACTCTGCGGCCGAGAAACACTGTTGGCATTCGTCTTGGAAAATGAGGCCGGAAGCTGCATTGGTCAAGCCTGCAGATGCGGAGGAGAGAGCCGTCCCAGCGGCACTGCTCGAATTCCTGGGAGAGGCTCCGACATCGGTTGTGGATGGTTGTGGCATGCCAATTGCGCGTGGCTGCTGATCAGGCACCGAGCGCTGCGGCACTGCGGTGCCACCAACCAGCGACTCAGTGAAGAGTTTCCCAGCGGAGCTCAAGTTCTTGCTTTCACCTTTGGCTTCAGGCGGTGCCAACGATGCAGCGACCAGACACGCCAGACTCGGGCCGAGGACGAAGAGCGATAACCGTTCAAGCTCTACTTTAAAACATATGGCATGCCAAGTTTGGGGAGGTACAGGGCACGGAGTGAAGACGAACGAAGACGATTTTGGCCTCAACCACCATCAACGGACAAGCAGCCACCATGACTTGGACGCCAAGTTACAAGTTAAGTCACAAGTTGGCTCGTAAGCAGCCTCGTTTGGTCGAAGGACATTCTCAACAGGCACCGCTCTGCTTTCGAAACAGCAAATCAGATTTTCAATGCAGCTTAACCATAATTTTTGCAGCGAGCCATGAAGTTCCGACGATCATGTTCATCTGTTTGACAGGAGCGAATGCACAGTGAAGCAAGATCATTGAGAATACATACTGTATCTAGTTTGTGCCAGCACGCTTGGCGGTCGAAGCTGCTATGTATGAGACGTTTGACATGTGGTTCACTACGCCTGCCGACCGCTTCATCTGAACCCATGGTTACTTACCCTCGTACCTTTCTGCAGCCACTTGACCCGACAAGGAGCCTGTCCAGAAGGTCCAGAAGTTGCATGGCGTCATTGCTTTGACTGTCAGTCGGTTTGGCTGTCAGCTTGTGCAGCTGCCGACGATTTGTAGAGCATGAGGCACCGCTGGATTGGGATGACAGGCCGCCCACACCCAGTCCTGATTCTTGGCTGAGAACGCCGAATGGGGTCACCTTTTGGTAGGGGCATCCACAGACACATAATCAGGTCAGTGGTGAACGGTTTCACTGTGCAATGTCCGATGTTGCATTCATATGTAAAGGAAGGCTTTCAGCAACTGGGTGCACCACAAGAACTACCACGAGTGCAAGCTCCAATCGAGAGCCAGGCTGGAAGAAAGGCTGCTGATGTCTATACTATGTAGTCTGCCTGACATGGAGAATTGGACTCGAAGAGATCATTCAGGCTTCATCGTGGGAAATGCAAGAGGGAGGCGAAGAGTCACCTCTTCAACATGAGACTTTCGTGGCTGAAAAGCTTCCCGAAGTTGTGCTGCAGCTGCAAAATGCTGTGAGTAACACCGCGGCAATGAGCTTCTTTCCATGCAGTACCGTCTTTTGAGCATTTCAGGCTCCAACGGCACATTTGACGCCAGCAGAAGCTACCAAGATTGCCGCCTTGCGAGCAAAAGGCTTACTGCAAGAGGACAAGCCAAAGAAACTTGCTTTCATTAAAGGTTTCTTTCTCAAGAACGGCTTAGTTGGTTTGGTTCACAAGTGGATGAGTGCAGACTGCAGAGCTTAGAAGCTCGGTGCAATTTGTGAGCCTGAGGCCCGCGCTGCCTGTTGCACAGGGCGTCGAGCCGCCGCGCCCGGCGGGCCACGAGGACGAGGCATTGCTTTTCCGGAAGAGTTCTGAAGTTTTTTCTCGGCGGGTTGCCGGGACCTCCTGTGGCGAGCTTTCACGGTGTCCGCCGTGGTCAGGATCTTTTCTACATCCCCGGAACAGGATGGTGTGACATTTACGGCCGAGCTGTGGAAGCTGTTTCCCCAACCAGTTCTGCCATGTCTTCACCGCCCCGTGCCGCACGCGCCGCGTGGTCGGACTGCACTGAAAGGTGAGGAAAAGGCAAAGGGAATGACTTGGGCATGTTGGGGAAGCACTCAGGGCATCACAATTTACGTGAGGCCAAAGATGGTGGCCAAGCCGGCACCCAAAACCAGAGATCAGCAGCAAGCTGCTTGGGCCAGCGGCCTGCACAAGAATGTCTCCAGAAATGGCATCAACATGTCAACTGTGTCAGCAAAAAGATTTGAAGCGATAACGGCTTATGTCTGCGAAGATTCTGACCATCACTCAGGATGCCATTCCTGGCGTTTGATTGGCGAACGCTGCATGCCCGCTGAAAAGGGAGCGGAAAACAAGGCCTCGCTGCTACAGCTTGCCATGGAGCGGATGCGCAACAAAGATGAACAGAAGCACAGAGCAGGACGTGCACACCAAGTCTTGACATCCAGAGAAAAATGAGGTGCAGTGCAGCAGCTCTACAAGCCAAGACAGGCAGCGGCTCCGGTTCGGCCTGATCTTGGAGCTTTTGGGGAGTGCCTGCACTAGTTGTTCTTGTACGGCCTTGCGAAGAAGCAAAAACAGCGGCACACTTGCGTTTGGAGCGAGGCAAAGCGATGAGTTGCACCCAGAGCCGGAGAAGGCGGGGAGGACATCCGAACAACGTGAGAGATCCAAGTCCGTGCAAGAGCTCTTCTCAGGCCGTGCTCAGCTCTCAAATGGAGCCTCAAGAGCCGAAGGCACAGTCTCGAGAGCACGCGCAGCTACCGGACCAGCAATGTTGCATCAGAAGGATTTCGGAGAGGATGGCTGGAGCCTGCAGGGGATGATCTGATCTTGCCACTGTGACTTGCACTGTACATGTATGTCGCGGCCATTATCGCAACAGGTAGTCGTTAGCTTGCCTGCAAGAATTGATGATCAGAAGCTGAGATTAAAAAAACGCACTTCAAAGACATGGACAGCAGCAAAAACAACAGCAGCAACATGCACTAAAGAACGGTAGCACCGTTTATCACTTCCGTGAACCACTATGAGACCAGCACATGCTGTCAGGTTGTGACAACGTAAATGGTAAGAAGTCTTTCGAAGTAATCGCACTGGCCAAGATGCCGGACTCGGCTGACACTTGGGAAGCGTTGCGACCCGAGAACGCTGAGCAACTTCGCTTGAAAGTCAGCTGTGGGGTTGTCAAGCAATAAGCTCCCCGTTCGCGCATGTCATACTGCATTACCGACTGCATCTTCTGGAAGCCATGATGAAGACGATTGAGGTTGTCAATAACTGAGCTGGTGATGCCACTGGAGATCACCATCATCACCATCCCCCGCCGTGCTGATGCTGATGTTGGTGATGACGAGGGGTGGTGATGCATGTGTGAATGCTACGGTGACAATGCTGATGCCGCCTCAGGACTAGGCCTCCATCACCGAATTGGAGACGCTACACACACCGTACAGACTCACCGCGCGAGCTTTGGGAAAGCTCATCCGTGCGTTCACCCAGGCCGGGAAATGCCAGGTGGTTGCAAGCTGCCCTGCTTCAGACCTCTGACTCTACCTGAAAATTACGCAGTGCTTCGCTCGGCCTTGGCAGGCGAAGCCCCCGCAAGCTGCCCGCCCCAAGCTGTCCGTTGGTGGATCGTCCACGGTCTAGGGTGAGACTTGGTTTGCAGAGCAGTATTCATAAGTAGACGAAGGGATGCGCAATGTTTACATGTTTGTTTGTGTCTGTCTTTGTGATGCCGAACTGGGATTGCAGCGTTATGATCTTGATGATGAGAGGTGCCAGAGCCTCCCAGCCTGGGAAGTGGAGAATATTCGCACAAGGCATGGATCCCAAGCCGCTCTGAGCCTAATCGCAGAGTAGGTGCAGGAGGATGCATTTCCACTTCGATGTGCGCAACAAACTGTAAGAAGCGAAAGTCCTCGCAGTAGTTTTTTGCCTGCAAAGCTTGCCCATCACATTGACCATTTCTACGGGAGAGGGTGATGGATGTATTCATAATCTGCTTATTCACCACCTTATCTTGAAGTTGCACAAGCATTTCGTGGGCTTGCCATCGTCACTCTTTGGCTTCGTTCGCAATTCAGCCCGCTTCCAATTTTTGATGGAGGGAATGGGAACACAAGGCTTTGGACGTTCGCATGATTTAAACATGTCACAGTGCCGAGCAAGCTGTCGGGCAGTCTGCGGTGCGGAGCATACACTGGCCGTTGTGTTCCCGATCAAGTCGCAGAACGCGCCCTGCCAGCACAAAGATGAAAAGGCCTCTGTTGCAGATGAGCGGTTCTTGGGTTCGACGCCTAAGGATTGTGGCGGAAACTCGATGTGGAAAGGAGAGGCCGCGACGGCTTGAGAAGTTCGTTATGTTGTCTGTGTTTGTCTTGCCTTGACTCGTGCGACCGTCTGCATTCTGGCACACATTCCTCGTTGAGAGGCCTTCTTAGCCCTGACCAATTTCGCCGAGTTGTGCGCCTCAAGTTGCGGGTTCCCGCATCCGACGTGTCGGACAAAGAGTTGGCTGGAATATTCGACATGCAGCCTGCTCGCAGACTTGAAGAAGGAGCGTAAAGAAAAGTTCCGTGGGACGTGGACCAATTTGCGCACTGCATGATGTGCCACTCAGGTTGGCTTTTGAAGATGCCGATGTTATGCGCATCGGCGGCTTGCTCGAAACGACTGCGAAGTTGAGAAGCTTTTAGAAAGCTGTCGCGACCTCTATCCCGACTTGTACAAGAGTGCAGCTGCAAGGTTCCGGCAGTAGTTGCCGTCCGGTTCCAAGCTAGGGTTCTAGCCAGGCTGGGTTTTAATTCTATGCGTCCGGGACCCACCACCTCGTGAATAAAGAGTTGAAGTCTTATTCCCACCTGCCCCGGTGGTTCGAACACCCAGCACGGAATCTCAGGAACCTGGTGCAACAAAAACCCTTGTAGAGAAGTAATGGGTTGTCCTTTTGGACCGATACGGAATTCCGGGCAGGTGGAGATAAGACCCAGGCCCTTTCAACTTCAAGGATTCAAGACTCTATGCAGCATTTTGTCCAAGTCGAACATGCCATTACGCTGACCACGGTTCCCAGATAGTGGATCTACAGCAACGTATGTCAAAGGCAACTTTGGATTACTTGTGCCGAGGCGACTTAGTGGACTACATACTGGCAGATCCGCCGGCGCCCTCGCCGATCACTGAAAAACCCTTGACAGAACCTTGGACTCAGACCCTGGCATACCTTGGCAACTGAAGAGAGCACAATGCATCCTTTTGGCTACCTTGTAGCAGCTTCTGGGAACGAGGATGCAGCAACATTACATGGGAACGTTTTGTTGTTTGGCGGGCTCGCGCAGGCTTATCAGACCTTCACAGACACGGGCTCCACCACTGCAACTCTGCTGGCTGCGGAAAGCATGGGAACGCTGGAGTCTAGACTGCAGTGCAGTTGGTTCAACTGTCGTATTCCGAAGCCCTCGTAAAGGGAAAGGAAGTCTGCACCCCACGAGCTGATTTCCGAGGCTGAGAGTCCCATTGCTTCGAGATCTGCCTCGCCAGCAGAAGGCAGAAAGGCTGGGCCCGTGGAGCTGATGCAAATCACCGCACTGTTCAAGTGCTTCTGGAGGTGGTTTTCAATGCGACTGTGCGAAGCACCAGCGTACCAATCGAGGACAAGATTCTTTTTGCTTGTACCGCGGCTGCACACGACTGAACCCTAGAAAAACGCGTCCTTCGTCCTTACAACAGAGTGGCAGAGTGGTGTCCTTGCGCCCACTAGGCACATGAATCCCAGTATCCCTCTGTCCCACTGCACAGCAGAGGCCGGAGAGGTGATCTGCCGAGGCCACGGAGCAGTTAGGACCTAGGACGTGCTGGGGATTCGAGCCTTCTTTGGGCAAGTGTTCGTGATTGCAAGCTCAGCCGGGTTTCGAGGAACTGCGAGCATCTGACCATGTTAATTTCTGCTGTCGGAGAGTCGCGAGGGCCTTGAAGGACGTTCGCTGAGGTGGACTTTGCAAACCGGGTAGGTGAGTGGTCCCTTTGGGTTTGACTTTGAGACCAAGACGACAAGCCCGCAGACATTCCTGAGGTTATGTTGCCTTCCCCTTTTTTAAGCATTGTGTGTCAGCGTAGCGCAACCTCACATCCAGGCCAGAATTGCGCTTGTAGAAGTAAGCTGCCAGGCTGCGCAGGCTGCTCGTACCACAACGTGGATCAGAGGGTCCCCTCACTCCGGAGCTGGGTGGTGTTTGTGCACACCTGGCAGCGGGAAAAGGCCACACTGCTTGCTGCGAAGCATGGCAGCAGGTCCGTTTGTCTTTGCCGCGCGAAGAGCGGATGCCATCATTGGCTCTCTCCTGCCGAGGAGCTCCTCTTGCGAGCGGGCGTCAGCCCCGATAGCAGAGACCGTAATGGAGCAACGTTGCTTGCAAGAGCAGCGCTATACGGACACACGGAGCTTACACAGCAGCTTGGTTCTCACCTTTTCCCGCGTGTGAGAGCTTTGTGGGTCTGCAGGCAAGCAATGAACGATAGCCAGACGAGCCCAATAAAGCGGACCAATAACACTCTTGAGGCGGCTCTTGAAGCAATGGCGTGCGAATCCGCTCGATGTGGACCACATGGGGAGGAACGCTGTGCATGTTGCTTGTTTGAACGATGTCAGAGTCTTGGCTCTAATCTTGTACGTGCAGCAGTCGCTTTTGATGCCACTTGCCCATCTTTTTTCAGCAACTAATCCTGTCCATAGAGCTCTCTGCACGTTGAAAACTCTCGAAGCTGCATCTAGGAGTGGTCCAACTGTTGGCCGAGCACACCCCGTCATCGGTTCATGCCAGGGATGCAGAGGGCAGGACACCTGCTGCAGAAGTTTGCCACAGCGACCTGATCCAGTGGAAATGCCGAAAAAAGTGCGTATATACATATGTATATATATATATATATAGATATGTGTATAGATGTATGTGTGTGCGTGTGTGTTTCTGCGTAAATTTGCCAGATGCCCATGTCCGAGATGTCTGTGTCGCCGGCGATCGAACACCACTCGCGTAAACTTGCCTGTGTCCGCTGTCGAACTTCACTTGCTTTCTGTCAAGACATGGATGAAAAGAACGGGCTTTCGTTTGCAGCCTCAAAGAACTTCAGGTCTCCGGCAAACTCGATATGTCATCGGTTGCCCATGCTCGAGCTAGCTGCTGGGTGGCGGTTCTGCCACGAGTGCTGTCATAAGAACAGCCGACCAGGGTACGCGAGCCCTTCGAGTCGCAATGGGCCAGTCATAAGTAAAGCTGGAAACAGAAGCGTATGTCGAATGCTGGGCTAAGCACAATCGTGACAGGCATCCCATCGGCACCCTAGTCGATGCGGCTAAAGCATAACATGGTGGGCCAGGCAATAGAGTAGAAGGCGCATTGACACTGACACTTCTTCAGCCAATTCCACGTCAAGCTGCTCGCACCTTTAGGAAACAACGACCACAAATCTCGTGCCATGCGATCCTCCGAGTTTTCCAAAGCCTTGACAAAGCCCTCACGAGGGTTGACCGAGCCGACACAGGTCCATGCCCATTGCGATCCGTTTGTACACAACAGCAACGTTCCGTCTACAACAACCAGTCAAGTGCTTCCAACAGCTTCTGCAGGGGTTGAGGCTCTGGTTGCGGTGGTAGCTTCGCGATGATAATGACCTGGCAGAAAGGCTGTCTAGCTTTTTGGCGAGGAGTTGCTTCTTCTATGCATTGGGAAACCCTTGCCAGCAATCGACACTTGGAGTACAACTAGAGGGCTCTGGACAAACAAAGCCAAACAACAAGCAGAAGAGATGTGCGCAGTGGTGGTTCCTGACATTAAACAAGGCAAACTCGCATCGCGCAATTCTTGGTCTTTTGCAAATGCGGGCTGGATGCTGTTGACAAGCAGGGTGGCACAGCTTCTTGTCAGCATGGTGAACAGCGAAATGAGAGTGAGCCCGGTCAGTTCGTTATAGAGTACAATATGTGCGAGGCATTGACCTACGCTGGGCAGGCGGGCAACCGCGAAGTGGTAAGCTTGCTCCTCTCACGTGGGGCGCGTCCTCGTCGATTCCTTCTTGATGCTTGGGCACGCGAACCGCATTTTGCCAACTTGCTGGCTACTTCTTCAGTGAAATGTACAGAGACTTGGTGGCATTTGTGAATGGGCCAAGAGCAGCACGTGTGGTCGTATTGAAACGGAGGCTCCGTTTAGAGAGCCGCACTCACTCATGCAGCCGTGCTTGCAGGAATCTTCTGCCAGGCAGCCGGTTTCTCTGGTGCCCAACTCTTGAAGAGCTGTAGACCACAGATCTAGTTGCCTGTGGCCGCTTCTCCCGGCAAGCTGGCTTTCAGATAGTTGTCCTGTTCCCACATGTACCGTCCATGAGACATCTGTCCTTCAGGGGTCTGGATGCAACAATGCACCCCGATCGGCCACAAGCGCTCAAGGCCCTGAGCATCAGCGAGATGCATGGTACGCAGATGTCAGAGAATGAGAATGTGGTGAGACCTCTTGGATGAATCAGTCTTTTATTCTTTTCCACAGGGCTCCCAGAAATGTCGCCTTTCACATGACTCCGGTTTGCAGACCGCATCCACAACGCCGAGTGCATGCCGTGCAGGGTGAGTCCGCGCAGCTGCTGACGCTTTTGGAGGCAATGTCCACGATCCCTCGGCAGGATTTGCCTGCTCAGACCACTCGAACCTTACCTGTGCGGTTGAGTGCTTGTTGTCCGTGGAGCATTTGAACTGTTGGTGTGCGAGTGTGGGTTGTTTCTCCAGCAATCTCCAGCATTGAGTACAAGCTGAGGAGAATTGTTCAAAGCATTCGGCTGAGCCAATGAATGGTAGATATGCGACGAGTGGCGAATGCTGAGCTGGAAACACAAGTAGACATATTAGTGCCTGCATTTCGCAGCCATCTGCTGCAACTTCGAAAGGTTAATGCTACAAACTGCGGAGAAAACAGTTGCAAGCCAAAGGCTCACTGAAAGCTCCATGCCTGCAATGTGTCGATTGTACAGGCCTCAGTCGATCGAGGCACCTGTGCTTGTCCTTGCACTCGGCGAGGGTGCTACTGAATGTAGCAAGCCACCCCCACAAGGCTAGCCACCACGCGCATGGTAGGTTTTGTTGCGGCTGTTTGCCGCTGTTGCGCTTTGCACAGTGAGGGACTTACTGACAGATGTCGCCACGCCCATCAAGCATAAAAAGTGTATGAAAAGTGTCGTGCTGTAGTTGACTTACTTACAGTGTCGCACCCCGCACGCTGCGCAAGCAAGCCAGCAAGAAAGAGAGAGACCGAGGAGGGGTAAGCCTACGGGCCAGAATCGTGCACCCATACCCCCTTGCAAGCAAGCAAGCAGGATGTCGAGGAACTTCCTGGCTATGAGCAGGCTGCACGGGTGCCCGGAGTGCCGTCAATCGCTCTGGAAGAGTCCTCCTTTCCGTGGCTCCTCCGAGGATCATCTCAAAGGCCAGGGCAAGGACAAGTTCGCTCGCGGCGAGGTGAATGAAGCCATTACATGCCGTGGACTTTGAACACGAGACTGCTTTGCGTCACTGTAGTGCGACTGTAACCCGAAGTCAGAATAAAGTCTTGAGGCTGGCTGCAAGCTTTGGACTCCATCCCGCTCCCAACTCGGAAAGGGACCATGTGGAATGGCAGTGCTAGGCATCCATCCCTTGCGAGGCCACCAAGTGGGACACGTGGACTGCGCGCTTCCAAGAAGAAGGGTTCCAGCCTCCTCGAGTGTGTCCAGGTAGCAGAAAGTCCTCACAGGATTGGAATTCTCCAGGGCTCAAAGCATGCAGAGGTCGAGGCCGTTTCACACTTTACATAGCATTGCCAGAGGCACAGAATCGCCTGTGTCAGCTCTCAGCAGTTCGGACACCTGTGAACAGGAGAAAGAGGATGGCCGTGTTCTCAAAATGAGAGTCGCACTGCTCCTAAATCTCGCAGGCGCCCAAGGACAAACAAGCGAAGTGCCTAGCGAGCTTATGAGCTCCAGAAGTCAACGGTTTGCAGAGTCGAGGCCTTGGCACACATGAGGCTAAAGAAGCCTCAGCCCTAGGATTGCTGGACTGAGAAGGGCTTGAGCAGGCTTTGTGTGCATTGCAGTACGCTTCAGTGGGGTACCAGCTCGTGCAGGTTTCGACAAGCTGTCGGATTTTGCGACGAGGCTTTGTTCGACGAGCCAGGCAACACAAAGGCCCATCGACAGCTGTACAGTCGCGCATAGCTTTGCCATTAGGCGTCGTAAGATAGATGGAGCACAAGCAGGCCCTGTACCGCAAAGCTGATGCACTTGGAGAGCTGTGCGACTGGCACGAAGCAGAAGAGGCACGACTGCGAATTTGGAGAATGTTCGACGGTAGCTGAAACAGAGCTTCGCAACGAGCCGGGCTCTAAACTCGACGCAGGCGGCTGTAAAGCTGCAAGAATCTGGCGAAGAAGGCCAGTGGTTGCATCCATTCTTGTTCTCGTCATTTCAGATCGTTCAAGATTTTGAGCTTGACACCCGACTTTGACCATGAAATGATAATGTGTTCTGCAAGGGCGAGTTGAGGCTTCAGATGGCTTAAGCCGCATCAAGCAACGTCTCCACATCGATGCTGCAAGCCTAGGGAAGTCGATACGACTCTGCACTTCGGGTACTTGTTCACAGTTACCTGTCGCATCATGTCCGGTCGCTTTGATGTTGATGCAGCATGCTTTGCAAGGGCGGGGGAAGCATGCCCGAGTGCCGGAACGCCGTGTAAATGCTTCAAACCCGAAAAAGTCCCTGCGACCGGTCCCCCATAGAACCACAAAAGGTCAGGCTGGCTTGTCATTTTCCCGTGGGATCCTGCCTCCCTGCCTTCCTCTCCTTTCCCGTGTGGTAAAAGGGAATGCTTCCAGCGCTGCTGTCAACACTGTCTCCTTGTCTTGGCGGCCGAAGGCTTGGACGCGTATTGCCGCGTACAAGTAGCTAGTCACATCAAGCCCGGCATCACTGGAGCCATCGGTGACATCACAAAGCGCGATGTGGCTTCACACTCAAGTGTATGACCTTAGCAGTACTTTCTCCGCAGTCGCGAAAATCACACTGGCACTCATACGGTGCTCGGGTAATCGGATATTAATGCTTGCCGTGTAGTTGTTGGTCTCGCTCGGTGTTGCTGCCAACAGTCGCTGACTGACATCGTTGCCAAGTGAAAGTCAATTGCCATGCTTCACAGCAGATTTACATCAAGTTGCGACGGTGCGAGGTACAAAGCTGGCTACGCAAAAACGTGAGGCCGAGTCTTGCATGTGTGCAATTGCATGTCCGGGGGTGACCTAGAGAACAGCATCCCGTGTGAAGAAAATGAGTCAAGTCACGGACTCTCGAACAGACACCCTTGCTGCAGCTTTGCAATGATGGACGCTTTGCAGATGGCGCGACTGTTCACGATCAAACAATATCAAGCAGGTAGCTGTTTTGAGAGTCTAATATGCCATGGGAGCCACACACCGCGCATGATGCTTGCAGGAGTGGAAAAGACGGCGGCGCCAAGCAGCGCGGTCCTCACCTCTTTTCAAAAAAAAAACGGAGCTGCTTGTTCGGAGATGAGAGGAGCTTGACGTAAACCCTACTCCCACAAGTCCTGCTGCGACCCGAGGACGACAAGCAAAAGAAAATGTGGTCTGCAGCCCTTGACAAAGAAAAGGCCGTGCCTGAGCAGCTGCCGGAGGCCCTTCCGCGAAGTGCGGTACATCATCCTTTCACTTTCGCCATGTGCTTCGAAGCGGTTCAGGTAAAGCAAGCCACACAGAAAGCCGAGATAGCAAGCAGCCCGAGAGCAAAGCTTCGGGGACGGCCCTCCGTGATTGCTCTGCTTTGAGGAAGAAGCCTGGTGCACCCCAAAGATTCAGATGATGAGCCCTTTCGACTTGCTGCGGACTTAGGGCTTTTGTCAAGTGCGTTGCCGTTCGGATGCTTCCAGCGATGCCTCGATGCTGTAATGTAGGGGCCGTAATAATTAGAAGGAGGTTTGGGTTATACTACAGTTATAATAAGAACCCCCCCCAGACCCTATTCCAAGTATTACGGCATTGCTTCCCGCCCTCTTCTTAGAACGAAAAGGTTTCTGCAAGAAGTAATTTGACTGGCTCTAAGGCGCACCAAAAAGATAGACTGGGAGGAGGCCTCATGGAAGCTTGAGCATTTTTGTAGTGTCGTGGCCTGCCGACATTGGAGGGCGAAGATTTCGACGATAAGATTTGGAAAGCAGCGCCCACATTGCTTTGCCGCGACACGTAGCCTTCGACAAAGCAGATTTGGCAAGGAATCTTTGGGTCGCAGGGAGGCCACGTTCTACCAGAAGCGAGCTCGATGCTAAGACTTCGAGTGGAGCATCTCAGCCCAGATAGATGCTGACCTGTGCATGTTGGTCACCATACAAACAGAGTATCACAAAGCTGATCAAATGGAACGCTTTGAAGGCTTTGCCCCTGTCTTTGCTGGCGGGAGTGGCTTTGGCAGACCTTGACCTGCAGAGTCCTCAGAGGAGTAGCCGACTGTCTGACAAGATAGCAGAGGAAAACTTTTGTACAAACTGAAGACGTGCACGAAAACGTTTCCAACGAGTCTCCGTCATCTCTTGCTCATTCTTGGGGCGAAGCCTGTGGTGGATGTAAAATCTAACACGTTGTGCGCATTGTTGAGCCACCTTTCGGAAACGAACTCGGTGGTGCCACATGTATGGCTGTGTAGAGGCTATGCGCCGGGCAAATCCAGTGGAGCCCCGAAGCAGAAAAAACGTGTGTAATGACAGGCCAAAGCAGTCGGAACTCGTGGTGCGCGATGCCCAGCTTCTCGCGGTTCATCTCGCAACAACGCGTAAGATGCAGTGAACTGTTGATGATATAGCTGCCAAGGCATTGCATTCTTGATGGGAACATGGCCCCCTTTGCAGAACCTCATGCCACGGGCCTGAGTATTTCAGTGGGCAGCTGCAGCTTGTGTCGACTTGTGTTGTGGTCGCAGAGACGAGCATTCCTTAGACTCGATTTGCCACTCGGCTTTGGCATTTCACTTGCGTCTCAATCTGCAGCATTGTGCTTTCAGAGAATAGTTCTGTAGAACTTCGAAGAGCTTTTCTTTGGTCGAATCATGGCTGGGGCGGTACTCGTACGCCTTTTCAGCCTGTGGGGCGGTGTGTCTGCAACCTTTCAGCACGCCGCATGTCCGAAACACAACGGACTTGGACTCTTACAAAAGTCGCCATCCCTCATGAAGGTGCAGGCTGATCATGACGTTGGCATTGGTGAAGGTGAAGATTTCTACCCAGTGGATGGCGGGGTCGGTCGCGCATGCCGCGGAGCTTCCCCAGGTGACAACAAGGCTGAGTATTTCATTGTCGCCACAGGGCATGATCTCGAGAGCTGCAAAGCCACTTGCATAAGCACCAATGGCTGCAAAGGCATTGAGTTCCATGTTTCGGGACGCTGCGAACTTTGGACACGCCCAGGGGGCATAGCGGCCAGCATTTCTCTCACGGACTACACTTGCCTATGGTATGGCACCAAGGCCAAGGATTTCATCCCTGTCGATGGCGGAGTAGACCGCTTCTGCCGAGGTGCCACCTCCACTGACAACAACGAGGCTTACTTCAGTATTATGCAAGGCTTGGACCTTGATGGCTGCAAACAAGCCTGCCGAGACAACTTGCAGTGTGTTGGCGTGGAGCATGCAGGGACTCGTTGCGAGGTTTGGACAAGGGCCGATGGCATCGAGACATCAGTCCCCGGAACCGGCTCGTCCTGCTGGAAGAAGGAGTTCTCGCACGCCGATGGAACAGGTGATCGCGCGTGCCGTGGTGCACATGCTGGAGACAACAAGCCAACTTACTTCAGTGTTCAGTCTTCCGTGCCAACGCTGGATGCTTGCAAAGACCACTGCAGGGCCACACCTGGATGTGTCGGAATCGAGCACATTAACACCCGATGCGAGATTTGGACCAGACCCGAAGGGATTCAGGCCAGCATGCCATCGGACGGATACACATGTTTGAAGTATCATGGGCCGGACAGCAGTGCCACCACAACGTCCGCACCGACAACTACGCCTCCAAGCCCAGCGTCGAGAACCCCCGCAGCAGATGCTCAGTTCTTGATTCAGGCAACATTTGGGCCGACTCTTGCTAGCATTGAGGAGTTAGGAAAAACCACATACGACAGCTGGGTCGATCGGCAAATGGCTTTGCCAATTACTTCCCATCGGGAGTACTACCGCAAGCGTGTGAACCCACGACCTGTGCGGAGTGCATCGGATCTCAATTCAGGAAGTCCACTCTCGCGCTGTTCGGTTGGTTCCAGGTGGGTACGGCATGCCATTCTCAAGACCGATGTGAATCGGCGTATCCAAGTTTCCCGGGGCAAGATCAAGGTGGACGACCTCTTCCGCACAGATGTGGACCCCGCATATGTGGGAAACGGCCTGAGGGCCCCGCAGACCTGCACGGACCTTGCCCCCAAGAGCTGGCAGGATGAAGGTTGGACTTGTGCATCGCAGAGATGGCGGGTGGAGCGAGAATGCACCAAGGACAGGGTTTGCGGGTTTCTGTGGGTTCGCAGAGATCTCGTGAGGTTCTTATGAAACAATATATCTTCGGGCAGTGCCATGTGATCAGGACAAAGAGTGGGTTGAAGACGGCTATTGCCAGCACACGTGTTTCGAAGTTGGACTTGGGTATGACGGAGATGACTGCTCGCCTGGTTGGGCGAACTTAGATTACGAGGGCTACATATGCCATGTGCGAGCGGACGAGGCTGGTGCATTCATCAAACTGAGCACCTCTTCTGGCTGCTCGACGGATTTCACCTACCAGCTGAATCCTTCTGTTTGGAAATCCAGTCCCGACAGCAGCATCACACAGACGTTGAGCTTCGACATCTTCCGCCCAGGCGTCCTTCTTCTTCGGGAATCACCGGCACAATGCAACCTAGCAACGATTGTGCGGTCTGCCGCCGAAGGACAAAGCCATTTCTACATGCTTGAGGAGCGCCTGGAGCTAGTGGAGAACACGGTGGAGAATCCATCTGCAACAGGATCCTCGTCTGGCAAGTGTCCCACCGTGTCCCGAAGCTTTCTGAACGAAGCCGGTTGCAAACTCCTCCCCGGTTGCTTGCCTCTTGGGCAGCAAAAACTGTTGGTGCCTCTGACCATCACGAACTTGGCTGCATTCTACTCAGTTGGTGGACGCTACGTGTATGCCGTGACAGGTCTCAAAACCACCAAACCACCCTGCGGTTCCATGTCTCGCTGGAAGCATCTCGTGTGTGACCCTGTCTGTACTCCTTCAGACATCGACAACTCAACTGCTGAAAAGATTCGCAACGCCCTGGAAGAAGAAGCTGATCAAGGACTCAGTCGTGATATTGAGGTTTCCTGCTCGGGCGTCCCTGCTGAAGCTGTGGTACAGGTGGGCAGCGAATTCTTTCAACATGTGCACGGTGATGAGAACAATGTCTATGACTTCACAGACTGGACCCTTCAGCACCCGGGTGGCGCAAGCAAAATCAAACAGTTCACCTCGAAGGGCTATCTTCTAGTCTTCCCGAGTTGGCACCCGATGGACAGATGGGACACTGGCCTTGCAACGGAGGTCATACGTCCAGGATTTGTCGGGAAGCTGGGAACCACAGTCCAGTTCCACAATCTCCCCCAACCCTTGCAAACGGATGCCCTGGCAGCTGCTCTTGGAGCTGTCCCCGAAGAGCAGGAATTCTCAGAGGTTTGCGGTTCGCCAGGAGAAGTTTCAAACGATCCGCAGAGCGGTCATCACTTGTCCTTCAAGCACGGTGCGCCAGATGATTGGTACTTCGACAGTTCCTACGGCTTTTCGGGTGGCATCGATCGCTTGGCGAAGTCTGCCGTTTGGACCATGCAGAGTCTGCACGCAGATGATCAGCTGCGACAGCGGGCCGCCTGGGCATTATCGCAGATCTTTGTGTGCTCCGTTCACGGTGGAGGTTATCGTGAAAGAGCAGAGTCATGGCTTTCATACTATGATATCTTCGTGCGGAATGCCTTCGGCAACTTTCGCGACATCATGCAGCAAGTGACCTACAATCCTATAATGGGAGACTATTTAACATACAAAAGGAATCGGGCATGGGATTCAGTCGGCAGATTCCCGGATGAGAACTACGCACGCGAGATTATGCAGCCACAGCCTCAGTTGTTTGCTGCTTTTTGCAGTGCATCACCCTGTCAATCCGGAATGGTGAACCGACCGTGTCGGGCCTGTTCGCAGTAGGCACACGTTTTGTGTCAATCTGGCTCGTTCGGTTTGTGACATTTGGGAAGCCACGGCTTTCTCAATCCGAGGCTGTTCACCATCGGCCTTTGGAAGCTGAATCCGGACGGCACTGACATGCTGGACCAGGACGGCAATCGAATTCCCACATACTCAAACGACCAGATTATGAACTTCGCTCGTGTTTTCACTGGCTTTGATGAGCAAAGGGATCGAGGCAACGTGGAGTATGTGGATGGGAGGAATCGTATCGACCCCATGCAGATGAAGGCAGATTGGCACGACAAATACCCAAAGCCAGACCTTGATGGTAACTATTTGGGAGACGGCTATCCCCTGTGTTCTGACCTGCCTGCGGGAGCATTTTTGATGAAGGGTGCAAAGTACCATTTCGTGGGCCATGTCCACGACGAGGATGATGGAGTGCTCAACCTCAGCAGCAGTTCAGCATTGCACCAGGCTTTGTGTTTCGAGGCCAGTGGCAAGTGCAGCTATCGGTTGACCGTGGAGTTAGCCCAGACGCTCACATGCACAGGTGCAGAGTGCACGGCCGACACGGTGAAGACCGTCAGCGTGTCTGGCGGGCTGTACGAGTACGTGGAGCCCACATGTGTGAACCTCTTCTTTTTCAACGGCCAAGCAACCAGAAAAGGGGGCAGATCGTGGGGATGGACGAAGACATGCCGTGATCCAAATGCTCTCGTTGCCGGCATTGCTTGTTGCAACGGTTGCAAGAACAGCACAACAAGCTGGATGCGGCGCAAGGGCTACACGTGCGAGAACGCCCAAACCACGTGGCCGTCGATGTTTACTGACAAGTGCGGTCCCAATGGTACCGATAGCTGGTGGCAGGATGCGAAGTTCTGTCAGCTGGCATGCTGGGAAGCTGGCCTGGGCTATGAAGGCAGAAGTCACTAGACCCACGAGACATTGATTGTTAATGCTTCGCACCGGGCGCCTCGGCCCGGCAGAGTTGGGACTAGGGTCCTCTGAAACCTTGAACTGCGACTGCCGGCAGACCACAGGCTGCAGGAGACAAGGGGCGGAGGGACCGGGGGGAGTGAACTGAGTGAAGAGTCGGTGAAGCCAAAACGGAGGTGAGGAGGAGGGACCTGGGCTGGGGTGGAACTTCTGGACCCTGGCCCGTGCTGAGGTGCTGCGGCAACTTAGTGCACTCAACTTGTGGAGCACAACAAAATTCCACATGTCACAGCATCCTGCGCAGGCGATGACTGCTCCTACGGCTTGTGGCATGGGGAACGACCGTGCAACTACGATTACGAGCGTGTACGCTTTGCCACAGCTGAGAAGATGTGTGTCTATCCCGCAGACCGCAAGGACTTTTTTTAAAGAAACTGTCAGCAGTAATTTAACTGAAGTCGGCCCATCATACAATATTGAAGGGACTGGCGCTTGAAACCGCATCCAAACGACTGTAAATGGCTCCGCACCGTCTCGGTAGATAGTTTGCAAAGTGTCCAGACCCGAGGTAAAGCTCGCGGGCTGGAAGTTTGCAATGAGAAGTTGGAGGACTACGGTTGCCAATACAACGACGAGCATGTATGGACTCCGGAGACTTGCTCCTACGAGGTCATTGTCCATGAGGATGGATTGGTCAGTTCCAACTGGACAAGTAAGACCAAGCAGAATAAGATCAAAGTCTATTGGCAGGACCGCTTGTATCAGTATCCAAAAGTAGACAATGGCCAATGCCCATCAGGCTGTGTGGTAGCTGATACGGCATGCTCTTGCGACATGACAGTCGAAACCAGGGTGGCTTTCACTTCCACGCCGACGGCCAGCGAAGTGGCCAAGTTGAAGATCGGGGCCGCCCCACCGAGCATCGCTTGCTCCTCAAACTGTGGAGGTGAAGTGCGTACATATTTTCTCAAGGGCCAGTTTGATGAGAGCACCGTTTTTGAGCACAACGGAGTCTTCTACAAGAATTCGGAAAGTGTGGTCAAGGTGGGCAGCTATGAGTTTCGCAATCCTCCAGTCTTCATGCCAACGAACTATGCTGAACCAAAGCATGCTTTGGCAGAGGTAGAAAGCCTGCTCGACCATCTCTTCAACCATCCAAACACAGCCCCTTTCATCAGCTATCGCTTGATCCAGCGGTTTGCAAGCTCCAATCCTTCCCCGGCATTCGTGCTCGATGTGGCCAACGCTTTCAAAACTGGTCGCTACAACGGCAAAGTGTATTCCGGGAAGTACGGGGATTTGGGTGCCACTTTCGCGGCCCTTTTGTTGCATCCCGAAGCCCGAGGCCAAAGTACGCCTTCCAATGGAGCACTGAGGGAGCCGCTTCTGAAGCTGATGCACCTGATGCGAGCTATGGAGTACAAAGACCAGGCGCAGAGGATCGTCATGATTCAAAACCTGCAAGACAAGATCGGTCAGTGGCCTTTCAACCATCCGTCTGTATTCAACTACTACTTGCCGGATTTCAAGCCAGACAATTTCCCGCAAGGAATGGTTGCACCGGAGTTTCAGATTTTCACTCCACCCATGGCTATCAATTTCATCAACGGACTAGCCTCTTTGATCGATTATGGACTGGGCGAGTGCAGGCGAGGTTTCGGCTTCTGGTCAAGCAATTGCTCACACGGTGTACTCCATGTGGGGGAGTTCGAATGCCTGCAGCCCACCATTGATCAGATGGATCTGCTCCTTACGGGTGGGCGATTGCACAACAAGGAGTTCATCAAAGCCGCATATCAAGAAGCCGATGGAGCGGACCGGTACCAGGTGGCGCAGAAGGCGGTAATCCTCAGTCCAGAGTTCAACATTCTGGGCAGCTCGCTTCCGCTCGGACCGCGTCCTCCTCCGGTACCAAAGCCTGAGCAGCAGCCCCGAGATTACAAAGCATTGATTATGGTGTTTTTGAACGGCGGCGCTGACAGCTACAACATGCTCGTTCCAGTCAATTGCCCTCTTTATGATGAGTATCGCACCGTGCGGGCAAACATTGCCATGAATGTTGAGGACCTGCACCTGATCGATGCCAACAATCAGAATTGCTCGCAGTACGGAATTCACTTCGCGCTGCCAACTTTCAAAGAGCTGTACGACAGCAAAGAGTTGGCATTTGTTGCCAACGTCGGCTCCCTGGTCGAAAGCATGGACAGAACAAAATGGAGATCTGGATCCGGTGAGAACTGTGTTGGCCTCTTCTCTCATTCAGACCAGCAACGTGCAGCCCAGACATTGACTTGCCACTTGGCCTCCGCCTCTTCCAAAGGTGCTGGAGGTAGGATTGCCGATGCATTAGCTGGCGGCAGTAGCGCAATGAAGACCATGTCCTTCAGCGTTGCCGGATCGCAGCCGTGGCCCCAAGGTGTCGAAACCAATGCCGAAATCATCAACAACGGTCAGCCCATCGGCATCGAGAAAATGGAGCAGCTGCAAGTTGTCATTGACAATATCACTGGCATCCAACATGGAAACATCTATGGCGAAGAGTACAATCAGCGATTGTCTGCAGCTTTGGCTTTCAATGAGCAACTTACAAAAAGCTTGAAGAATGTGGAGTTGAAGACCTCCTTTTCGACGGATAATCGAGGCCTGACCCGACAGTTGAAGGAGGTGGCTCGATTGATTGCATCCCGAGCTGAGAGGAAGGTGGAGAGGGATCTGTTTTTTGTGCAGCTTGGAGGCTTCGACACACATGCAAGCGTCGCCTGGAATCTCCGGCGTCGTTTTGAGGAAGTGGATCATGGCTTCAAGCGGTTCGTTGCAGAGCTCAAAGCCCAAGGGATCTTTGATTCCACCGTTATGGTCACACACTCCGATTTCGCTCGCACATTGACTCCCAACAGTGGGCAAGGCTCAGACCATGCATGGGGTGGGAACTACATCGTCGCCGGAGGTGCTGTCCAGGGCGGCAACATCTTCAATTCCTTTCCGAAGTCCTTCTTGCCCGGAGCTGAGCAAGATGCTGGTAGAGGACGGCTGATCCCAAAGCACCCATGGGAAAATTTTATGCGTCCAGTTGCCGAATGGGTGGGACTCGATGCATCACAGCTCTCTGAAGTGTTTCCGAATATTGGGAATTTCGACTCCTCCCATTTCATCGATAAGGCTTCATTGTTCAAATGAGCATTCAGGCCTGTTAGCTTAGCTTAGGCCGAGCAGAGCGCACTGGTCCCCATACAGACATGACAAGGATCAGCGCGCTTTGTGGCTATGTGTTTCGACTGTATAGCTGTACAAGATGTTGTATAGGTTTGAAGCATATGAATTCAGGTGCCCCTCGTCAGCTGCACCACTCACACGGACAACAGCTAAGCATACGGCATTCCTGAGCCTCCTTGGTGGTGTGGTGCGGTAACACATGCTCCTGCATGCTGGTGGGGGGCACCCCTCCACCCTTTGCCTTGATGTCATGCCACTGTGTGCCACAGAGCTCTTTCGGCGTGACACGGCGCACTCTCTCGTAGCATAGGCCGATATGAGTCGAGCAATTGCTGCCAGAGCGCCTCGCTCTGTAAAACTGTCTGCCAAGGAATCGTGACAGCAGTGGTAACCTGTGTGCATGTCTGTGGGTCGTGCTTCGCGGAATACTTGGCCAAAAGCCTAAATCGTTCAGTCCACCATCATGAATCTGGAAGCCTCCCTGCCAGACAAGGATTGGAGCGTGATCCTAAAGAGGTGTGAGAGCCCTGGAAAACGGGGAGAGTAAACGCACTCAATACTGTCGTCACATCCGTCAGTCTTTATCAGGGCGAAGCAGTGGATCCATCCTGAGGTCCTGAAGTGCGCAACGTGATGGTCGTCGGTTGCCTCAGCTGCTTACGGCTTCATGGAAACACTTCATTAAGATACTTCGGAGTCGCCTCCCACAATAGAAACATGGACAGGTCTACATTGACATCGGCGCATTCCGTCCTGACAAGGACGGGCAGCCTCCTCAGCAGCAGCCTCAGTTGATCTCCAGTGACTCATGACAGAGCTGGTACGACTGCAGCCGTGACCAGATCCTTGCGCAGCCAAGGCCCTATGGCACCCTGCTCAGGCATTGCTTGCTCTTGATTGTTACAGTAGCAAATCCTCAGAAGGGCTGAAGACAAGCACGGTGCACCTTGGCAGCTTGCTGCACCTGGTTTATACCAACACAGACGAGTGATCAGGTGATCTCATCTCTTGAGTCTAAGAGCGGAGCCAAGCCACCAAGCAAGCCGAACTCTCAAGCTTGGCTGAACGACCCGCACGGACAGGCCCACAGAGGAAGGCCGGATTGGAGACCGCGTGGCACGAGCTGCTCGGTTCATGGGCCTGGCACCTACGGATGGAAACACACTCTCATACTATCATCGCTACTGTTGAGCTGCCCTACAGCAAATTGTCTTGTCGACCGTTTCGCGCACGGGTTTCCAGCACTAGAGTTTGCTGCACCGCAAAAGCTCTCAAAACTTAAAGCTGTTTCTGAAAGCTTGAAGCTGTTGCACCACCCCTGCTGACAGAACCGTTACTGTCGTACTAAGGCACATACAAGGAGTTCAAAGCTCATTGTCCGGGCCTGAGGTTGCAAACGAGTCCTTGGCTCCACACATGCTGTGTATGATATGTACACCAAAAGTCGCAGTACGGCAGTACATGACATATGGACACATAATGTGTATACGGGCTTTACTGCAGGCCAGCACCTGCCAGGTCTCGTGCGTGCTCGCTGCAAGCTGAGAGCTGTAAATGCGTTTTGCAAGTTGCGCAACTTTTGCCTCTCATGGCCACTACAGCCTCATGGCGATGCACTGAGACATCGCAATCTGGGCAGATGTCCCGCTCTATGGCTTCAGCGAGGACGACTTTGCCACGCGAATGCAGGCGGTTCAACAATGCTTGGACTCCAGCTTGGCCACCTTTGCAGCGAACTGATCAGGACTAATCTTGTGTGACGAATAGCTGCCATTCCTGACCGGCCGATATGGTTGTGCTGTGCAGGCACTGTCGTTGTTGAGCGCTGAGGGCACCACCTCGGTGTCGATCCCAGTGCCAGCAGTGTCTTCAGAATCCAACTGTGCCAGCCATGTGATCGCGACTGTGTAGTTCTGAGGTAGTGACACTTGGGGGCGAAGTTCAGGAACCGGGGAGTTTGCCAATCGCCCACACCTCAGTGAGATTCCGCCGATATTGACGCACACACAAACATAGACATACTCGCCCACAGTTGACAACCGTGCGCAACGGTGCACTGCAAACATGAGGCTCTTCGTGTCGATGACCAGGCCGACAATTCCCGGTGCATAGTTGCACCGGATTTTCCTGAAGTGCAACTGACAAGGCTCGCCTCTCCATGGGCATCCTGGCTGTGGGTCTTGGATTCCGCAAGTTGGCCAGCACCTTGATGCTGACGTGCGGGAAGCACCGACGGCGATGATGTTGAGATTACGCAGTTCTTGCGCATGAAACAGGCCGCCTGGCATTGGAACAGATTCGTGGTGTGGGCGGGCCCAGAAGAGGATCTAAGAACGTGTGATTGAACCGAGCCAAGCTGCACTTCTGAAGAGTCGAAGCCAAGCGGCACGCAGAAGCAAGGCCACTGGACCGTGGTAGCCAAGGAATAGTAGCAGTGATGCGCTCAGCTTCCCATGGCCAATCACAAGTTAGTGGGGGAAAAGAGCCATCATCGCTTGGCTGCAAGGGGCATGCTTTGGTGGGCGTTCTTGCGCCTGACCCTTGGTAGACCATGCTGGCAGAAATTTCGTGCGAATTATATTCCTGGCCTGCAAGAGGCCTAGTTCCAAAAAGACGAGCTTCGTCCCTCAGACAGTCAAGGAGGTACTCAAGCGGTCACGGCCCCAGCTGGTTGCCGATGAGGAGACCACGAAGAAGAGCACTGTGGGCTGCTTTGTGCTTGTCTCGACTGGTTGAGAGGCGTGGCATCACTACCATGTGGGCCTGGCAAGTGTTGCTTACACCTTGCTTGCGTTTTGCAAGCTCCCATGGCTAGGGTCGCTCAAAGCCAGCCACTCAAGCCTTCACGGCAGGCCGTTTAAGCTTCCGAAGCTGGAGAACCTGAAGCAGCAGCAAGAGAAAATGGTGACACCCTCAGATCCATCAGCTGATGAATGTAGTATCGGCATGTGGCTCATTCCGCAACACTGTTTCAAGGCCGAGATGCGAGACAGGCAGTGGCAGGCGTTGTGCCTTTGCGTTGACTGAACCATTCCTGCCCAAGAAGATAGTCATGTATGAAATGGTACGGCGGGCTGCAGACATGGTCCTGTTGCCTGCTTGCGTCCGACATTACATATGCATTAGTTATGATAAACCTTTGATCGGATAGGCCTTCTGTCAACATCTTCATTCACAGGGGCGGTGGCCTACTCAGTTCACCGGCATGCAGCAACGGCGAGACTTGCATGGACGGCACGGGAAGGAAGCTCGCAGGGCCGGGGGACAGCGACCAGGAGAAGAAGATGCAGCAGGGGCCTTCTTTGTTGAAGCTGAAAGAATGTCTATGGATAGCTCGCCGATCTGAGGACTATGGAGTGGTACAAGTTCATTGGTGGCGGTGATATCGCAGTTCATTAACCATCTCGGCGAATAAAAGCACACAGTCATGATTGGAAACTACATACCTGGAGGAGTATTCATTTCATCCAATCTAGAATGCTGAGAACCTTGTTTGAAGATATTGGGCACTTCTGTATATATGTCGACAGCTACTGGGTTTTGAGTTTTCATCAGCGGTTTCAATAATTGGGCCACCTACATTTTATGATGCGCATTGTTTAATTAGCCTTTCTCGGCCTGAAAAATTGATGTCGATCCTTTTCTGTTGAGCGCTTTCACTTTACATTCATGAGAATAACTCTACAGAAACAAATAGGAAAACATTCCTAATATCATCTTATAAAATACAGTATCTTCAGAGAAAAAAAAGCTCCCAAACTTGCGCTATCATTGATATTATCCTTGATAATTTTGCTTGCCAAAAATTGCCACCCCCCCTTACCACCACCTTGGGTAGTCTCGCGAAACGCAAGAAGCACAACTACAACAGGCCTTCTACTAGGGCTCCAACTAGCTCCTAATATTTGGCGCTCAGGTCTCTCCCCTTGTTGCTCCCATGTGAGACCCCTGGAGCCTCTCCTACATGTTCGTCGCTGTATGGGCAATCGTAGTTCTCCAACTTCTCATTGCAAACTTCCAGAGCGCGAGCTTTACCTCGTGTTTGGACACTTTCCGGACTACTGTATCTCTATCGAGATAGCCATTTCCAGTCGATTAGATGCGGTTGCAAGCGCGAGTCCCCGTATTCCGTGTTTAGCCTCTGCCTACAGTAGACTTCGTTGTGTTGCTGCTGGAAAGTGCCTGAGTGCGGACTGGGCGCACATCTTCTCAGCTGTGGCAGAGCGTACATGCTCGTAGTCGTAGTTGCACGGTCGTTCTAAAAGCCACAAGCCGTAGGAGCAGTCATCGCTTGCACAGGATTCCGTGAGATGTGGCTTTTTTTGTTCTTCACATGTTATGTGAATTAATTTCCTCATGCTGAGTACGATTCACACTGGTACTCCGCCGACTCTGCTGTGGGGCGAGCGTCGGGGACGCGCTCGTGCTTTCGGTCTCCCGCCCGTCCCCGGCCGGATTGGAGCCTTGCTTCCCCGCCCTCCAACCCAGAATCCAGTCTCTGCTCAACACTTTTACAAAGCTTAACCTCTCGCCACAGTCCCACATTTTGGCTCCACGGCCCACACCCGACATACCCTGACGCCACCCCGCTTTTAGCTTTAGAAGCTTAGAACTGTCGAAAACTCGCCGCGGTCTCCAGCTTGCCAGCTGACAGAAGTTCGCATCCTGCCTCCAGCTATCAGCACTTGTCAGTAAACATCGTTCTCGCACGTGCAACCCTTGCGCCGCATCCAGCTTGCAGTGCCATTCTTGCAGCCGTTGCAACAAGCAACGCCGCCCACCAGAGACATGTGGGCTCCACATACTCGTACAGCCCGCCAGACACGCTGACGGTCTTCACCGTGTCGGCCGTGCACTCTGCACCTGTGCATGTGAGCGTCTGGGCTAACTCCACGGTCAACCGATAGCTGCACTTGCCACTGGCCTCGAAACACAAAGCCTGGTGCAATGCTGAACTGCTGCTGAGGTTAAGCACTCCTTCATCCTCGTCGTGGACATGGCCTACGAAATGGTACTTTGCACCCTTCATCAAAAATGCTCCCGCAGGCAGGTCAGAACACAGGGGATAGCCGTCGCCCAAATAGAAACCATCAAGGTCTGGCTTTGGGTATTTGTCGTGCCAATCTGCATGGGGTCGATACGCTCATATTCCTCCCACCCACATACTCCACGTTGCCTCGATCCCTCTGCTCATCAAATTCGATTGCCGTCCTGGTCCAGCATGTCAGTGACGTCTGGATTCAGCTTCCAAAGGCCGATGGTGAACAGCCTCGGACTGAGAAAGCCGTGGCTTCCCAAATGTCACAAACCGAACGAGGGAGATTGACACAAAACGCTTGCCTAGGGCAGAAAGCCGCAAACAACTGAGGCTCTCGCTGCATAATCTCGCGTGCGTAGTTCTCATCTGGGAATCTGCCGACCGAATCCCATGCCCGGTTCCTTTTGTATTCACTTGCCTCTCTCTGGGGAGGGTGTTCCAGCTCCACTCTGTTAGCTACGAGCCTCGTTTCGAGAGATGCTCGAGAATTCTACGTTTCGAGAGTCTGCAGATTATGTGGGTTGGGGGCGGCAGGTCGCAGAATCTAAGGGGCTCTAAAGTGCTGCAGGAGATCCAGACCGCTCTGTCTCATGCCACGGATGAGCGCATGGAGCTGGCGAGTCAACTCCATGCCATCATGAACCATGTGAAGCAGCCCTTCGCCCTGGTCACCAATTTTCGCAATGAAGCCATGCCGTCCCTACACAAAGTGCAGGGGATAGGCAACACGCAGTGGGGACAGGCTGACGTCCTCAATGCTCTCCAGGACCTCACTGGCTCCATGGACGAGAAGCTCAAGCGTCACGGCGAAAGCTTGAAAGCAGTGCAGGGACAGTTGGAGAAGATCGTGCTGAGGTTGACACCGCCAATGCCTACCAAAGCCCCTCCACCGTCGCCTCCCGCGAGTTCGGCACCAACAACTGCACCGCCGACCTCGACTACGGGAACCTCGCCAACCCCAGCCGCACCGACGCCAGCCTCTTCGAGCGCAACACCCACGGTGCCCTGTGGTCAGCCTCAGTCGTTCGGTCCCGCCAGCAACTCCAGCTTTTTGGGAATATGAGCAATCCGCCCCGGTGGGGCCTGCTGCCTCCCCAGCACATGGATCCTAGAGCACAGGAAGCCCTCAATATGATGGCTAACCTTTTGGCTGGGGCCATGCAATACCCTCCCCGGTAATGTACCGCCCGGGTTCAGTTGGTTGACTTAGTAATGGTTTGGTTATTTCTGTTTACCATCTCTGATCGCAGTCATGTTGCCGGCCCACTGCCCTTCGCAAAACCCATAATTCAGAATTTGAAATTTGTAATTTGTAATTGAGGACTGTCTCGGATGTGCATGCACGCGCGGCAAAACATGTCCGATGCGAGAGAGCAGAATTGCATTAGCTTTGCGTGAAAGCCTCCATCCCCGACCGCTAGAGCATTGTTTTGCAGTTACCCTCCTCGTCTTCGTACTACTAATTAAACTTGACCCGACCCCGACCACTTTAACCCTGCCTGGTAATATTCGCTCGGTCGCAGCCAAACCCACTTGTGCCTAGGAAAAAACAAAACCCCCCCCCAAAAAAAAAAGAAAACATGCAACGATGTACTCTCCCAGCAGTGTCGGCTCTTCAGCAACTTCCCAGTGCGCTACATGAACATGGAGCCCTTCGCTGAAACCCAAGACGAGTCCCAAAGCCTCCCAAGCGCCAATCCCGCGAGCCCACCAGGTCCTAATCCCAACGACATTCGAAGCCCCTCTGAACCGAACCGCCATACAGGTGACGAGCCCGAAGCAAGCTCCCAGGAACCTGCGACTTGGGACACGACAGTCGTGCGGCTCACGAAGCCCTCTGAACCAGGATGATCCCCCGTCCCAAACTGGAGGATCTAAGCGCAAACTCCCCAACCCTAGAGTCAACGATCCTGAAACCCCTCTGGACGTTGAGTTTACCCCCACTGATGCTACCCTTGAAAGCCTCTCCGAAAGCTTCCTGAACAACTATCTTACCCTTAACATCGAGGAGCGATGCCTGGCGTTAGCACAGATTACCTCCACTGTTCCCCGGAAATTCTGGGACACGGATGAGGGGGACAAGAAGTTCCTGCTCATCGGCCAACTAGCTAACTGCTTAACAAGACTTTCGGGCGCTCAACCTGGGTTCACAGAAGCGGTTACTGCTTTCATCCGTTCGGTTCAGCCTGAAGTTGTCCCGTTCACGTGTGCATCCATCAGAGTAGTAGGTCCCGGTAAACCATGCCATACGGACAATCGTAACTCATGGGCTCCCTCACTTCTGACAGGCCTCACCCACTACACTGCTGGCAAACTATGGGTCGAAAACCCTGGGGGAACTGCTGAGGGTTGGAGACCAGGTAGTGAAGACGTTCGCCTTGGAAGCTTTATCGACGTGATGCACAAGCCTATCCTGTTTAGCTCGAGGGCCCTCTTGCATGGAACGGAACGGTGGCACGGGGAAGACCGCAAGATCCTAACGGCTTGGGCCCCGCAAATTGCTGCACAAAACCACGAGTACTTTAGTACAACCCTGGCCTTAATGGGCTTCTTGCCCCCGCACACGGCCCAGGAGCTCGACAGCTACCGCTTGTCGGTCTATTACGGCCTTTATGTGGTTAAACAAAAGAGTTTGCAGGGAATGTTCGACCGTCAGCGAAGTGGGCAGCAGGCACCACTACAGAACACTGAGGAACCCGCAGAGATCGCGATTTCAGACGAGGATGGGGATGAAGAGATCCCTGAAATCATGTAGCCGCGACTCGAGCCGGATGCAGAGTGCAAGATTCTGCATCCCCTAATGGACTAGTTCTCCTCATTCCCACAAGGGCCTTGCTCGTCTCGTTTTCGCGTCGTGCCGCACGTTACGCCACTGGTTCTTTTTCAATTCACTTAATTCATTTTGACCCTTGATTCTACACAGGCCTGCAAGCCTTTGAAAAAAAAGCTCCTCTCCTTCTCTGATTCCTCTCACTGCCCTCATTCCCTCTTCTCATCATCATCATCCAGCATCCCGTCAGCTGAGAGAGCCGACTATCCTAAGCCGCCATGGTTGCCTCGCCTCAGCTGCGAACCCTGACAGACGTGTAACGACTGCTTTTCGTTGTGCTCAAGAAGACGTTTGGCATCCAGTTACCAACCTGGAAGCGGCCACTGGCTGGCTGTACTGAAGTGACTTCACTGCCGACCTGGCCGTAGTCCGGACTACAACCGAGCATGAGTCTTCGTAAGCTGCGAAGTGACATCTGCATCCGATGATCTCGAGAACAGCACTGACCAACCTGGAACGCTGTGCCTTTCTTTGTGACTACACAGCTGCTTAGTTGTGCTGCACGGACTGTGCTTGCCACCTCGGCTTCGTATCAACTACTACAGGATGTGGCCGACAAGGAGGCTCTCTTGTCACCTCATGTGTGGCTGTGTTCCTTGGCACGAGAGGCTGGCGATGCGAGCCAAGTCTGTTGAGTGACCTCGTGCTGACCGCAGCAATGGTACCAGCTGCAAGTTCTGTTCACACTCTGTACAACAGTGCCGGAGACGAGCCACGTGGATAGACCTCGTGGCCCAAGACGGGGGTTACTGCAGTACATCTTCCTGCCACGGCCTAGCCCCGAAGAGACTGAACAGGATGCCATGCAAGTCTGTACCTACTGCGATGGATAGCGTATGGTTCGCACTGGCGCTCGACTACAGCCACGTGCCACGTACTGCTTTGGATGCGGACGCCTGAAGTTATTCTGAGTTCTGAGAAGCCGTAGCCTTGAAGCAGCTGGAACCTAGGTTGGGGCCCTGGAACCTACGAAGTTCTTTAATTGTAGCCCTCGCCTGTAGTCGTTTGCAGTACCTAATTGGCGCAGTCCTTAGCCAGCTCCACCTTGCAGGAATTCGTAATTGGTAATTAGGTCCTTTGAGGCAAGCAACCTGGTCTTCTTTGAACCTTTGTTTAGTGCATCGGTAGTTGTTTCTTTGATGTTGGCACTAATAACGCGCCCGGACCTCTGCATGTGTGCAAGTAGTCAAGCTTACAGTCGAGTCCAGTCTAGTGCACAAATTTGATAGCCCGTCTGTGGAAACTGCGAGTCGCCCCCGGGTATTGTTGGGCTTGTTGGGGATAGTGGTGACTTGCCTTCCTCGGATGCGCTAGGTCTCGGAGACTCGGCGGTGATGCGCATTCCTTCTTGTTTACGGTAGTCACTTGCTGTTGGGCTTGCCGGCAAGGGGTGCACATTGTCCCTGCGGTCTCTTTCTCTCCTGTGTCTAGTGAGTTCGGACGAGTTCCCTGCGGTGCGACATGTTTCAGCTGGGCGGGTGGCAAAAAAGTGCTTGCAAACAGGGCGCGCGCGGGCTCGGGAGCAATTGGAGGGACTGGCTTTCAATTGGCACGCTCGGAGTACTCCGAGTCACTGGGGAGCGCAGTTGGGCTCTGAAGCAGTTTCAGGGCAAGCAGAGGGCCACAGTCAGGCATATGAGTGCGACATGAGTCCACACGAATGCCACATGAGTCCATATGAGTCCCACATGAGCCCAGATGAGGTTCTGGAGCTACTGCGGGGCGCGCCGTTGGAACTCGAGATTTGTTGCGCAGCTCGCCTCCGAGGCACTGCGAGCTCAGGTCTGCGAGCCGCAGCACCGAGAACTGCCGAGAAGCCAAATGCATGTTGCTCGCGAGCTGCTACGAGCTACTGCCGGGTGGGCCCCCTTAAAGCCCCCTAGATTCCTTGCGCTGCGGGTCGAAGGCCGCAAAATCGACAGTGCTTCGAAGTGCGCAATTCTGCTGCGAGTCTCGAAACAAGCCTTGTAGCCGACACAGACTGGAGAGCTGGAACACCCTCCCCAGAAAGAGCGTCAACAATCCAAGCAAGACTAAACATAGTTCGGTTCGCGTGCCTGGCTGGTTTGCTGTGAAAGTTAAACAATTTGACATGCAGGTTGTGCTTTTGGTGCAAACTGCGGAGGTGATGGGCTGGAAGCAGTTCTGGCAGGTGCACGATTGTTGATTAGTGGTTTCGAGACTTGTTCCAGACCAGTAGGATGCAAACGCCAGATTGCCTCATGAAGGTTGCGTCAGCAGCCGTGCGATACTGATGGTGCACTGCTGGTGCACCGATGGTCGCGGTGTGAGCTCAGAGGATTTTGACATCTCCTTTGTCCTGAATGTCGCCGCCCAACTGCGAGATTGCTTCTGTATGGAGGCACAGGGCTAAAGCCTTGTGAAATTGTGGTTGTCGTGTCGCACACTTGTGTGCGCAATGACAATCCTTAAATCTCTCGCTCTCACGAATCGACTTGTGGATCTACTGCCGTCGATTCTTGCGAACTTGTGCATGTACCGTTGCTATTCTGGTAAGCTTCGATAAAGCTTCGAGATTTCACCACCCTCCCGTACTCTTGATCATGTAAATTTTCCTCCTTTTCCAGTCTGCGCGAGGACCGTTTGGGAAGCAGTGGTCCTCCCGAGATCGATCAGTTCGGTAAGAAATGCCGGTAAGGATTCACTTCCAGGAGCGTTTTTAAGGGTGTTGGCCAGTAATGTGGGTCGACAACGAGTCGACATGATTTGGCCCTCATCCATGGATGCCCTCATCCATCTTTTGGCGAGGCTTGAAGATGAGTGCCCGAGCCACATGTGGATTTGCATGGTGGCTCTAACATCGCCGATGGCCCATCACGAGGCAACTCCGTCGAAGCTGTGTCAAAGCTGGGCTTGCGTACTGCACAGGACTTCCCATGTCCTACAGTCCCACATCATTGATCTCGATCTTCCCCTGATTCTTCGGAAGGGGGAGATTCGGGAAATCAGGGGAGACACTGCCTGCGGGATAACCCCCCTTTTCAAACAGCACGCGTTCTGCCCATGACTGCAAAAAGAGTGAGGTGCACTTTTGAGTTCTGTCTGCGGCTTATTATTTGATATTTGCATGGGTTGGAATGATTGAAGCTGTCACTTTCATTATCATAGTATTTGTATGACTGGAGCATTGATTTGCTCAACATATCAAGGATGTTCTTTCTTGACTTTTCTTGACATATTTGCTGAAATGGGAATAATGTCAAGTTTTGTTGTCGTACCTGCAAAACCCTAATAACCCGGAAGAGGGCAACCGCTCGGGATCCCACAGCAAAAGCACAAATCTGCGGCCGGGGTCATGTGTCAGCCATGCGTGGCCGCTCTGAACTGCCGCAAGATTTGCCTTCAAGCCTGATGGTTTGCCAACTCGCACAGCTACATGAGGCGCGCCGCAGGCTGAGATTGACGGTCTATTCCCGGACATTGACCGTTCAGAAACATTGAAGTCTGTTTGAGCAGACACACAAGGTGGTCTAGGGTGTGTGCTCGTGAAGTCAGGGTCGGGGTCGGCCGGTTCAGTGCCTGGATCGAAGCAGTCTTACTTTCATGTTCCGCCGTCCTTACATGACGTTTGCAATGGGAACCGCTGACCCAAGGTTGCCGAGTCTGGCACGGTGGCGCTGCTGGTGTCCTTGGGGGCGCTGGCAGTTGCGGATGCTAGTCGGGCTGGGTTCTCAGGTCAAGCGTTTCAAGCTTCAGGCGGCTGACTGGGCGGTACATCGAGAATTTAGGACTGAGTTCGAGCAGTATCTAGTAGCCGAATCGTAAATCCTCTTAGTGTCGACAGTCGTTCCCTCCACTTCACACCGCCACTTCGCTCCAGGTGTATGCATCAGGCTTGTCTACGGCTGGGGAGCAGGAGCCTGCAGCACGCACTCTGATATGCCACTGGCATGTTCCATGCGAAAGGCAGTCAGGGAACTGAGTCCGAGGCCCAGATGATGTGGGTCAGCTGTCGGTGAGCTTCACGGAATACTTGCTTATCGGACATGTCCTTAGAAGCAGAGACAAAGCAGAACTGAAGAGATACCCAAAGCACCGAAAGCAACGCTTTCGCAGGAGCAGGCGGTGGAGGCCAATGAGGAGACAGCGACTGCAGCCACCACAAGCTTGCCGACCACCACGACAAAGACAGGGATGCCTTTGACTTCTGATTCTTTGGAGATTATAGAAGCAAAAAGGGCAGTGCTTTCGGGCAACCTGGCGGTTCTCGAAAAGCTCCGTCAGGCTCGGGTACCTACCCTGTACCTCCTTTTGCTGCTAGACTCTACTGAGTAATTTTTGAGGACAACTCAAAGCTCTCTCGTGAGGCCGGCTACGACCTCTTCACCGTAGGTCGCATTTCGTACCTGCCGGCTTTTGCTGCAGCAAACGGCAAGGTGGCGGCACTGCGGTACCTGCACGAGGCCCGGCTCTGGATGGGTCAAGGCGCGACTCATGTATGGATGCTTCCACGGTCGAGGCAGGCGCCAACTTCAGTCGCAGAGACCACGACGGACATACGCCGGCCCATGTCGCAGCCCTACACAACCAAGTGGAGGCCCTGGCGGTGCTCCAAGAGGCCAGACCAGGGCGCACATGAGGATCCAAAAGATTGAGTACGTAGGCTAATTGTAACCATTGTAACCCGATTTAGGGTCCTTAAAACCCTACGTGTAACCGTATACTGCCCCATACTTACTGGCCTTTAAGCAGTGTTGCAACTTGGTGGAGAGAATGGGGGTTTATCGCGGTTTGCGCAGCGAGGCAGGAGTGGACCTGAACTCGGTGACCGACCACAACGGTGGTCTGCCGGTCCACGCGGCCGCAGAAAACCCTGAGCGCGAGACAGATGCGCTGATCTTCCTGATCCAGGCAGGAGCGGCTTCCCTCATTCAACTAACACTAACAATGCTAAACCCTGAACCTTTTTACATTTTTACCTGAACCCTAAACCACATAAACGCTAATCCTGGGGTGCCCAGTTCCTTTTTGTTCTTGGGTAGCTTCATCGAAACAGAGTACTAGGAAAGAAGTTGTTTGTTTTTCAGGGTCTACTAGGCAACCTAGAAACTGAAGAAGCCTGGAACCTAACCCTAAACCCGGTCTAAGCGCTAAACCCCCATCCCCGCCGCATGCCCCCCCCTCTGCCTGTACCCAGGCCGGCGTCAACGTGAGTTTCGTCAACGGAAGGGGTGAGACGCCGGCCTTCCTGGCTGCCCACAGATGCAATGACAAAGCACTGGAGGTGCTGGCGAAGGTTGGGACAGAGAGTCAGCCCGGGTTTGAGGCGAAGGTTGTTGGGGCGAACTTGGCTCCCTCCACCTGAGGCTTCAAGGATCTACCCCATGAAGCGAGAGTCGCGAGAGTTCGAGGTGTTAGGCATGGCTCTTTTTTGACGGCTTGGCATTGAGTCAGCGAGGCAAGGGCCGACCTGCAGACTGCGGACAATCGCGGGAACACCCCGTTGCACGTGGCCGCAGGGTCGTTTGGTGATCGCCCGAGCAGAGCAAATGCGCTGCGCATTCTGATCCAGGCGGGAGGGGTCTGATGCTCCGCATTCACACCCTCGCGGTTCCGTGTCCATCGTTTCCGGCACAGGCCGGTGTCAATTTGAATGCCGTCAACAAGGACGGTGACACGCCGCTCTGCATGGCTGGCAATAAGAGGCAAGACGAAGCAACGGAGGTGCTGGTGAAGGTCAGGGACGGGAGTCCGGATGAAATGAGGGTTGTCCTGGCGAACCTGTGTCTCTCCGGCTGAGGCTTCAAGGATTCACTGTTCCCCAGCCATCCCCTCGACTGTGCGCACAGGCCGGCGCCAACGTGAATGCCATAAACAAACACGGAGAGACACCGGCCTTCATGGCTGTTATCTTTCGCAGAGACAAAGCACTGGAGCTGCTGGCGAAGGTCAGCCCGGGACCGAAGAGGCTTCAAGGATATGCACACCGGTTTGTTGAGGGTTTCGCAACGAGTCAGGCAGGAGCCGACCTGCAGATCACGCCGGCTTCAACGGCTGTTATCTTTCGCAGATACCTGGTCAAGGTCAGCCCGGGATTGAAGCGAACCTGTGTGCCTACGGTTGAGGCTTCAAGGACATTCCCGTTTGTTGAGGGTCTCGCATCGAGTCAGGCAGGAGCCGACCTGCAGACTGCGGAGAAAAACGGGAACACCTTGCTGCACGCGGCCCTAACAACGAACGTGATGGGAAACCCAGACGACGAGCCCAGTCGCTGGCGCGTCCCGATCTTGCGCACCCTGATCCAGGCGGGATGGAGCCGGAGACTCCAGTATTCCTAAATCAAGGGTCCCTTATTCAGGATCCCTAATTACTATGGTCTAGTTGTGAGCGCTGAATTACTATAATTTTAGGAATATTCCTTAATTAAGGGATATTGGAGTCTCTGGGTTCCCCCCGCACCCTCTCCGCACAGGTCGGCGCCAACGTGAATGCCACCAACGAGTACGGCGTCACGCCGGCCTACATGGCTGCCTTCTACGGCCAGGACAAAACACTGGAGGTGCTGGCGAAGGTCGGAGCGAGGGGGGTCAGCTCGGGATTGAAAGATTCTAAGCGAGAGTTATAGGCATAGGCCAGGCCTGCCGGGTTTGGTGAGTCTAGGGTCCTAAGTGTGGGCTCTTAATTTGAGACCCTTGTGTGTGTTGCATACACCTACACCGACTGAGGGCCCTTACTTCGGACCGCAAAACAAGCCCTAAACCCAACAAACAAGGCAGGAGCCGGCCTGGACATTGCGGACAACGTCGGGAACACCCCACTGCACGCGGCGTCGAGACAACGGGGGAAGGTGGAGGTGGTTTCCGTCCTGATCCAGGAGGGAGGGGGCTTCTTTATGCTTGGCAGGGAGGAAGGGTCGCCGTCCACATTCTGCTCAGGCCGGGGCCAACGTGAATGCCATCAACGAGAAGGGAGAGACGCCGGCCTACATGGCTGCCGACTTCTGCAGAGACAAAACGCTGGAGCTGCTGTTGAAGGTTGGTGCGGGGATTTCACTTCTGAAGGTTGTCTGGGAGAATCTGCGTGCCCACAGCTGAGGCTTCAAGGATATACTACCCTGCTTGTTGAGGGTTTCGCTACGTGTCAGCGAGGCAGGAGCCAACCTGCAGATTGCGGACAAAAACGGGAACACTCCACTGCACGCGGCGTCGAGCAGAGGGTGGAAGAGCGAGGTTGTTTCCATGCTCATCCAGGCGGGAGGGGGCTGTTTTTGGCTTCTCTAAATCCCCATTCACGCATTTTCAGGGGGTTTGCAGCTTCACATCCCGATGCGTCCCACGCTGGCACATGCGTCGCTTCTGCTCAGGCCGGGGCCAACGTGAATGCCGTCAACAAGAAGGGAGAGACGCCGGCTGACGTGGCTGGGACTCCGAAGATACAGGAGCTGCTGGTGAAGGCCCGGTTTGAGAGGGCTGGAAGCAAATGGGAAAAGGGGCATGAGATGCGATACTTCAACCCTAAATCCTAAACCTGCCAGCCGTAGCCATTTTGGCTCAAGTCCGCCGTCAGCTGGCGTGTGTGCCCCTGGAGCGCGGTCGCGCCTTCCGGGCCGCGTCGGGCAGGCTTGAGCTCTCCTCCTCCTCGTAGTCCTGTTCTGAGGCCTCCCGGGTGCATTACTCCACCAGTCCCTCTCGTCGTGTCGTCGTTCGTCGGGATGGCGGGGTCGGACGAAAGTACGCTCCTGTTGCCCCACCTGCACCGTTCCGAACAACTGGAGGGGGGGGGGGGGGGTTGGATGACGCTGGGACGCCAATTAGCTCAGGGGCTCTTCTGGGGGCCGAGCAGCCCGACATGGTTATGCAAGAAGCGGCCCAGGATGCGCTCCGGGCCGCCTTGGGGGATGCCGTGGGTGGGCCGTGTGATCCTGGACCGGGGAGAGGGGTGGGGCTGGCGGAAACTGAAGCCAAGCAGGCTGAAGCAGCAGCGGTGGCCGCTAATCTCCTTGCTAAACACCAAGCCACCCGAGCCCCCAAGTCCTCGCCTAAAACAAGCCCCGAAAAGAAAGCACGACCTCCGACCCTCGATCCCGCTGCCGCCAAAGGACCGCCAGTGGGGCTGCAACCCCCTCCCCTTTTTGGGGGGGGGCCTGTCCCCCCCGACAAGAACAAACGCCCGCTGCCACAGGAGTACGACATTGGTGATGATGTCCCCCCGCCGTGGGCAGCCTCACTTCAGGCGGGCATCGACCGGCTTCATCGAGGACAACACGAGCAGATGCAGGCCATCCAGGTCACTAGAGATTCCATTCAGGGAGTAGCAGATAAGGTGCAGTCTTTGGAGTCGAGGCAGGATTCGCACTTAGAACGAACTGCGGCTCTTGAGCTCCGTTTGGCGGCTATGGAACAGGAGATGAGGGATTTTCGCTCTAGGTCTCCTAGTGTCACCTCAGCATACACTCCGACGCATTCACCTCGTGGGGCTCGTGGGAATCCCGCGCATGATGATTGGCAGGTTGTTTTAGGCGGTTGGAAGGATGCGAAACGCGAGGACATCGAACAAGAAGTGAGAGACTGGTTCACGAGAGCTGAGTGTGGCCCTCTCCTGCAGGCCATGCATTGCAGCTCGGTGCGTTCCAACACGTGTAGGGTCGACTTGCTGTACATGCAGGATGCCATGGCAGAACGACGTAAGGTCCAAGGCATGTGTGTTGAGGCCCTCCGAGCAGTTGCTCAGCCAAGCTCCCTTCCAGGGCAAGGGACGGGGGCACTTTGGGCAAAGCGAAACCGTAGTCCTGAGGAGAGAGCCCGTATTCGAGCCATAGTGTCCCTCAAGGCTCTTGTTGCCAAACATTTGCCCCCCAGGGACTTTGAGTTTGACTGGCGTGGAAGGTTCTGGGCTAATGGGGTCAGTGTGCTTGCCCACGTGGACCAGAAACGTCCGGATGATGGGGCTCTGTTGTTGCTTGATGTACGGGGCCACGAAACGGGATGGTGGGTCCCGGGTCCCCTTCTCGCTCGAACTTTGGGGATTGATCTCAAGGTCTTGCATACACACTTCGAGGTTGAGGCGTCAGGATCCCCCTAGGAGGGTGGCCGGAACAGGAAACGAGGGCGACCCCTCAAACCCGAATTCGTAGCATGTACCTGGAATCTTCATGGTAAAAGTCTCCGTGAGGTTGCTGATCTGTGGCAGGGGACTGTCCCATGCCCTGACTTTCTTTTTGTGCAGGAATTAGGTGCTTGTCCTGGGGCCACTCCTGAGGTTCAGGTCTCGGATTTTTGTTTTGGGTCTGTACCCTACAAGATGTATCACTGCAGCGCGCCCGAAGCACACCTCAACCAGGCTATTCTTGTCAAAACCGAACTGGAATTCCATGCGACACACAAGTCGGGGCTTCCCGTTGGTCTTGTCCTGCATGGTGCATGTCGGAATCACCGAATTCATTTGGCATGTTTGCATTTGCCCCACAGTAAACGGGTCAGCACCGAAGCTAAACCACGATCTTCTGCAGAGGAGGTTTGGAAGGACACCTTGGAGCTACTGGATTCTCAACTGCAGGATACAGGTGGCGAGGCCATGGTCATCGTCGGCGGTGATTTCAACCAGGACCTTCATGCCAGCTCGGACACCTTTTCGGGAATGGGGCTTCTGAGGGCTCTGCTTCAGAAACATAGCCTCTCGTTGCATCGTTCCGTGGGCATCACTTGGACGGCCCGTGGGGCTGCTAGCGAAATCGACGCTGTCCTGGCTCGTGTCCCTAGAAGTCTCACGTATGCTCACAAGCGGGATGACATGCGACTGGCGCTCCCCTCGGACCACTGCCCCGTCTTTCTGAGAATTTGCACCCCGATGCCGCTGCTCCACAGAGGCACACGCCCCACCACCAGGTGTGGCCGGTGGCTGCCCAGCATTCCGGAGCTGGAGAGCTATGCGGCCTCGGACATGGAGTTTGGTCCCTCTCGCATGTCTGAGTTGTGTTTAAAAGCCGAGCGAGTTCCTTCCCTTCGATACCAGGACTCTTCGGACCTTAAGGCCCTTATTGCAACCAGACGTGCCTGCCAGGACCCTCACACGAGAGCGAGCATGTTGTCCGAAATACGGGCACGCCGAACCAACGATCGGCACGAACACCAGTTGAACATTCTGCAGCGAGCCAGGGAAGGGGATAGGCAGGCTATCACGTACCTCCGAAAGAGTGCCGCGCATGCTTCGTTTGAAACCAGCTACATTGAGCAAAGAGGGGGGCAACAAGCGGCCAGCTTGGAACTCCGGCAGTTCTATGACCGCAAATACGCTTCCCTCCTCCCGCCTCCCACCGAGGAGGCGATCCATCGGATGATTGCTACACATTCCTCCGTTAGACCGCAGCCCTTTACTAAGGATGACTTAGGCCTGGCCATCGCCAAATGCAAGCCACGCACAAGCGCTGGCCTGGACGGAGTGTGCTATGAGGCAATCCGGACCTATCATAGATGCGACAAAACGGGCAAGCTTCTCCGCTTCATGAATCGTTTGCTCTTTGGGCAACAGCCTCTTCCCGAGAACTGGTACGAGGCCAAGGTAGTGCTCCTGCCCAAAACGCCCCAACCCTCCAATCCTGCTGACCTGCGCCCGATCTGTCTCTCTCCGTGCTTGTCTAAGATCTTTGGCAGGCTACTGATGGGGAGAGTTGCGCCTAAATGCCCGCCCTACCAAAGTGGGCAAATGGGGTGCAGACGAAAAACTCAGACGGTAGACGGCATCCTCGCGGCGCAGACAGTAATAGGAGTCTTACGCAGAAAGCACCAGGTGGAAGCACATGTGGCCAAGCTAGATATTAGGGCGGCTTTCGACAGTCTTTCCCATTCTTCGATCGTGCACTTCTTCATGCACTGTGAGGTTTGTCCCGAGATCCTCCTGCTATGGCGTCTGTGCTCCCAAAATCGTTTGCTAATGAGTTTGGGAACTGAGACTTGGCGTACCGAGGTCCGCCAAGGGATCATGCAAGGCAGCAGCTATTCAGCTGATCTCTTCGCTCGAGCTATAGATTTCCATTTGCGGGGGCTCCAGGCTCGGTGGAATACCGAGTTTCCCCGCTGGGCGGATGCAATAGAGCTCCCACATTTCCTGCTATATGCTGATGATGTCATGCTTTTTGCGATGGATGCTAGGGAACTTCAGGTCAAACTCAGGGACCTGACGGACACGTTGGCGGCGGTAGGGCTCTTTGTCAACCCTGCCAAGTGCAGCGTGCTTAATATTGAAGGATCGACGCCGGGGGTCTGGCTCCGGGGCTCTTGCACCCCTCTGCAGGGCAAGGACCGCTTGATGTTCCTTGGGGTACCTCTTGCACACACTAATGCCCCCGACATGGTCCTCATGCACCCGCTCAGAAAGATGACAAATTCTTTCTTTGCAATGAAGAAGATCTTGGACAAGCCCTCGACTCCGCACAGGGTTAAGAGTGTTCTCTTTGACTCGTACATCAGCTCGAAATGGCAATGGTGCAGTTCGGTCGTTTGGCCTACGGTGCGCGCGCTGAAGAGCATAGAAGGGCTTAAGAATTCCTTGCTTCTGGGGGTTTTTCGCTTCGGAAGAGATCCTTTCAGCACTTGGTTGGAAAACGTGCAAGGATGTCGTAGAGCACTCAGTGTGTACTGCCAGTGCTTTCGAGGACCGCAGTGGCAGGTGGCCTGGTTGACACGTATTTGGACCTATTTCGGTCACCTTGCCCGGTCCACGGAGGACACGCCCTTACGCCGCATGCTCAGGACCATGGGGAGTCACCGACTCTCCACGGGACAGCTTCGGCCGTCCTGGCTTTCGGAGACGCCTTTTCACAAGTTTCGCTTGGTTTATCAGCAATTGCAAATGCAAGGAGAGATGCCTCATTGGGAATGGCAGGCAACAGACCGCACGGCCTGGCTGGCTATGCTGCCGCGATGGCTGCACTATTGGCATGCGTCGCCTGTCCATCCCCTGACGACGGAGTATGTAGCTGGTCGCCAGCTTGTCGTGGTAGATAAGGGAATCTCTGCTCTACGCAGACGACGTGATGCACTGGAGGGTCTGTATCGTTCCGGGC